CAGGACAAAAGCAAGCTTAAGGGTGCCAAGACAATTCAGAGGGGGAAGAATAGTCTTTTTAGCTAATGGTGTTGGGACAGCTGGATGTCCACGTGCAAAAGAATGGAGTTAGACTTCTACCTCATATCATATGCACAGATTAATGGAAAGTAGATTAAAGACCTAAATGTAAGAGCTAAAACTACAAGACTTGGGGGGAGGGGGATCAACTAAAAAGCATTTAGTGATCCAGTCAGAAGACTTGATTACATAGTTATTGTGAAACCCAAGCCTTAGGATTTGTTTTTTAATTTTATTTCTGTTTCTAGGTTGGGGATGAACATCTTCGGAAGCAGCACCGGATGCTGGCAGATCTTCATTACAGCAAAGCTGTAAAGCTTTTTCAGCTTCTGAAAGATGCTCCATGTGAACTACTTAGAGTACAGTTAGAAAGAGTAGCATTTGCAGAATTTCAGATGACCAGTAAGTCATGCTTTTTTATTTCTCAGATATGTGTGCATTGGCTTAGTGTTGGATTGTCTCAGAGTGAAGCAGACCTGTGGATGTTTCTTATCTGTAAGTAATATTATTTTCCTTTTAATTTGTCAGTAGTTGGTGACTTCGGGTAGGGACCAACTCCTAAATTCCTTTTGAAACTTATTGAGCTGGCTGGCCAGTTAGCTCAGTTGGTTAGAGTGCAGCCTTGTAACACCAAGGTCAAAGGTTTGGATCCCCTTACCAGCAGCTGCCCCCCCAAATCCAAAATAAATAAATAAATAAAACTTATTGAACATAATCTAAGTATTTCCCTGACTAGAAATATTGAAATAGAGTCTTTGATCCCTTACTTGGAAAAAATTTTGACAAGTCAGTTTAGATAAGTAAAGATTTAACTCAGCATGAAAAGCTTGGGAATGGAGAAGCAGCAGTAAAGGAGTAGTGGTCCTCATTGAATCCCTTTAAACATAGAACTGGTACTTGGCAACTGTGATTTGTGGTTCTAGAATGGAACTTGGCCAAGGTAAGGATAAATTGAGAGGTAGGGAAAGGGTGAAAGAAAGTGAAAATGCTTCATTATGTTACTTTCCATGGCTGGGAGCAGGCAGGTACTACAAACACTTAATGTTTTTTGTAAGTTCTCTCTGTTGCTCCTGATACCTGCTCCCCTCTCTTGCAGAAGGATCTTTTGAGAAATACCTCTTGTGTGGTAAAGAAACAAGGAACAACTATTTGAAATACAGCAGTTCATTTGGTTTCATTTCAGTTTTATCTTCTATAAAATTAAATTTAATACTTTAAATATGTATGACTTAGTATGTTCAGGTATACAGTAGCCCTGGATGAGATACAGTAGCACAAGAAACTCGTAGCATTGTTGCCCTGTGGAGGGAACCTGGAAGGTCAGGTGTGGGATTTTCACTGTATACCCATTTGAACCTTGTAAATTTGGGGAATGTATTATGTATTCAAAACAATTTCTAAAAATACTTTTTATTAAAGTTAATTTTGTTAATTGTTTGCTAGTATATAATACATGGCTAGATGTGTGGGAGAGTCACCAGGGTTAACAGAAGCTCTTTCTGGTGATGGGTTTGGGGTGATCTTTTCTCACTTGCATCTTTGAATTTTCTGCCATGTTTGAATTCCTTAAAATGAGCAGGTATCATTTTTATAAAAAAAGAATAGAGAGAAACTGGGAACAAATTTACCAAGATGATTAGTGTGGTTAATTCCCTTTTTAAAATGTTTTAATACTATGGGTACCTTAGGAAAATCATTTAAATATTTTGGGGAGTTTTGTTAGTCAGGTTTATGGGTTTGGTAGGCCAAGTTAATAATACCTTTTATTCTCTTACTTTACCCATTATCTTTTTTTCCAGTACATTTGATTCATAGTTACTGTATTAGTTCATTTTGTGTTGCTATAACAGAAATACCTGAGACTGGGTAATTTATAAGGAAAAGAGGTTTATTTGGCTTACAATTCTGGGACAGCTGCATCTGGCATGGGCCTCAGGCTGCTTCTACTCATGGCAGAAAGCTGGTGGGTACAAGCAGATCACATGGTGAGAGGAAGCAAGAGAGAGAGAAGGTGCCAGGGTCTTTTAAACAACCAGCTCTTGCGGGAACTAAGAGAGCAAGAACTAACTCACAACCCCCACCCTCCACGGAGAGCATTAATGCATTCACGAGGGATCTGCCCCCATGACTCAGTTTCCAGCACTGCCACATTGGGGATCAGATTTCCACATGAGTTTTGGAGGGGACAACACGTCCAAACTCCATCATTTGCCTTCCTTATTATTGTCTGCTCCCAGCCCCAACAGCATTTCCATACATAATCAGTAGTTTGTCTTCCAGAGGCTAAAGCTACACTGAAATCACATTTATCCATTGATTTCAAAGATAATAAATTGTTTTGAAATTTGGGGATTATGCTGTTAATCAAGAAGGCAGCAGTTTTCCCTTCCCACCTGCAGTGTTGGGACTATTTTCACTTCTGACAATTCACTGCAAGGACTCATAGAACTCACTGAAAGCTATTCTGCTCATGGTTATGGTTTATTACAGTGAAAGGATGTGCGTTAAAATCAGCCAAGAGAAGGGGCGTGTGAGACAGTAGAGTCATAGATAGCACTGACTCTCTCCAGCAATGATATATGACAGTATGCACAGAGTATTGCCAACCACAGAAGCTCATCCAAGCCTTGGTGTCCAGAGTTTTTTTGGGGGACATGGTTGACTGCTACATGACTGACCCAATCTCCAGTCCCTCTGGAGGTCGAGCTGTTAAACATGGGGCCCAAAAGCCCCACAATAAATCACATTGTTAGACTATCCAGTGTGGTCACAGGTCCCCCAGGTAAACAGACACTCTTATTAGGCAGGACATTCCAAGGGCTTAGAGATCACCTTCTGGGAGCCAAGACCAAAGGCCAGACCTCTGTTTGGACAAGATTATTCCTCCACTACACACCACTACACAGGACTACACACACAATTGAATGTAACCTCCAGGAGAGCAGGAGTAAAAATGCTTTGTAATATCCGATAGCTGTAGAAAAGTTTTATTCATAAAGTTCTGGAATAAAATGAAACCTTCTTCATTTGGTTTGACTTCCTGCCTTTTAACAGAAAGGTGATATACTTATTTTACAGATAGGATAACTGATACTAAGTGCTTAAGTGACTTGACCAACATCGCACATCAGGTAAATATAGGGGTGGCGTTTGAACCACAGACTCCTCTCCCCTAGTCCCCTTTCATCTAATGCTTTAGATATTGGCTCCTATTCCGAACAGATTGTGTTCTTACCTTGATAAAACCAAATGGTGAGTCAGGAAAACTTATTTATTGCTTTTTCAAGACTTAGTATTTTTCTCAAGGGAAAATTATTAAAACGGAAGTTGGATTTAGAAGATTTGTTGGGATTCTCATGAGCTACCTTTACAGCTATGAAAATCAGAATTTTCATTAATACACTAACATTGGATGGGTTTCTAGATTTACATTTAAAGGAATGATAATTTGTGTTTAATACTTTAGGCCAGAATAGCAATGTTGGAAAATTGAAAACACTATCAGGGGCTCTTGATATAATGACGAGAACTGAACATGCATTCCAGCTCATCCGGAAGGAACTTGTAGAGGAATTTGACCAGGTAAATGGAAAAAATCATTAACTGTATTTTTTGTATATATAGTGTGTTTATGTGTTTATTTTGTGTATGCGTGTGTTTATGTATATGTGTGTGTGTGTGTGTGTATATATATATATTTTGTGTGTGTAAATGCTCTGTATGAAAACACATTAACATGTTTGCTTGGTAGAATTATTAATTTGCAAGTATATCTGTTATATTTTAAAAGTTTTTCTTTAAGAATATGTGTAAACAGAGGCCCATAGACCATGTTTAGCGAGGCATAGGTTAGCAAGTTATGAAGCTGTAATTTGTGTGTGTGTGTGTGTGTGTGT